GACTCTGGGTAAACACCACTCCCACCTCCAGTCACCTGATGGACAATTTGAGTAGAGATCTCCTCCCGTACATCGGCCACCAGCTCACCAATGAGTTACATTATCAGTTGTATCACAAGCCCTCTGCCCGTCAGGCGGGCCACACAGTTTCATTTTAGTCAAAGGGATTTTAAAGGGGGCACTATGTTTGATCAACTAGGTGAAGGAGCCTGTTATGGTTTATGTCTAGCTGTAACCCCAGGGCCTTAGGCACTCATAGATGGGGCTTTAGGGATGTGACTGGATCATGCGGGCCTGATATTCATCAATGGATGACTTTATAGCTACATGTGATGTTGGGAAGTTAAGCCTGCTGGGAGGCGGTGGGAAGCCTGCTGGGAGATGGTGGGTTACTGGGGGCGTGGCCTGGAAGGATCTGTCTCTCTCCCTCCTTGCTTGATCTCTCTCCCTCTCTCTTTCTTTCTGCTTGCCACTGCCATACCATGAGCTGCTTCACCTTTACAGTGTCCCTCTGCCATGCTGCCCAGCCTTGGAGGCAGCCGATTATGGACCGAACCTCTACAAACTGTGAGCCAAAACACATCCCTGCCTTAAGTTGTGGATATCAGCTAATCTCTTCGTGATGAGAAAGTAACTAAGACAGACCATGGCTGTGAAAGGTCAGAAGAGGGGGAAGCCAAGTTACTGCTCTGCTGTTTATGTATAATACTAAGAAATATAATGCAAAGGTGAATAGAAGCAACAAAAAATGGTTTACTTATAAACCAACTTCAAATAAAATCTGAACAGCTCCCAATAATATGTGTTGTGAGATAATTTTATTCTGCAGAAAGACATGCTCAAGTCCTAGCTCCCAGTACCTGTGACTGTGAAGTCATTTGGAAATAGGGTCTTTGCAGATGTTCCCTTGTTAGGAGGATGTCGTACTGGATTAGAGGAGGCCTGAATCCAATACCTGGTGACTTAATAAGAAGAGGCCATGTGATGAGAGAAACAGAGACTGGGTTGATGCTGCCACCCACAAAGGAAGGCAGAGGGCAGTGGGCAGTCCAGAACAAGGAAGGTGAAGAAGGATTCTGCCTTCTGCCTTCAGAGGGAGCGCATCTCTGCCTATACCCAGCCCTAATTTGGGGCTTTTAGTCTCCAAAACCACAAGATAGTAAATTTCTATGGGGTTTTCTGGTATTTAAAATTGTTATTGATAAGTCATACATAATGTGCATGCTTTAGGTCATGTAATGTTTTGGTGCAAATATACAAGGCACAGTGGACAAATCAAGGTAAATGGCATATTCATCACTTCAGACCTTTGTCATTTCTGTGTGGTGATAGCTTTTGAGATCCTTTTTTTTGCAGTCATTTCTCTTGTTTTAAGCCATCCAGCTTGCAGTGCTTTGTTTTAGCAGCCCTGGGACACTCAATACAACAGCAACAATGTAACATCAGAATCAAGGGCGCTCAGGAATTGGTTAAAAGCAAGCAAGATCTTAGAAAAGTCAATGAAGGTGAGAGATGTGTGGACTTCAGCGGGGACCAGGCCTGGCAGGGGAGAGCTGCCCCTCGCAGGGAGGCGAGCTGGTGAAGAAAAAGCATGGGCGACACTGGCTCTGAGAGTAATGGGGTGGACAAAAGGTGACATTCAGTGCCAGACTCATCAGCAAGGAGTTAACTGTCCTTTCCAGGTGTCAAGTGGACATTTCTCAAGAAAATGCATAAAGCTCAAATTTGTCAGCTTGTCACCAACATCTGAGCATTGAGCTTCCTGTCTCCAGTTTGGCATTTTCTTTGACTCTGTTTCATCATTCTAAATTAGACAGCAGCCACGCAAGGGAAGGATCTGTCGTCCTCCCTGTCTGTCTCTATATATAGTGCGCTATCCACCACTTCGAAGGTGCTAAGATTCCACTGATTAATGACAATGTCGCTAAAATGGTCACATTCTGAACTCAAGGAAGGAAGGCATGTTGCTCCTCACGTGAAAACGCAGGGGAGGAAAAAGGTACCGCTGCTGTTTCTAATACTGACCTGGCTCCCATGTCGCCCAGGGGAATATGCATCTGTAATGGCAAAACTCTTCATTGGAAAGACCCTAAGTGACAACCCTAGGAGCTTCCCGAGCAGTAATTAGGGAAATATATTATTGCTAATCCTGAAAACACTAGGAACTCGGTTAATTTTGAAAGAGAAAATAAAAGTGCTGCCTTGTGGCAAAAGGCCACTTCTTGGTGCCATTAAATCAAGCACAGCCCTATGTAGGACCAGAGCATTAATGCTGAAGATGTCCGCACCCTCCCCACCCCATGCCATGAAGGAAGGTACTGTGGAATAGGCCAAAGGAAGTATCGATGTGCAAATACCATTTAGCAAGTACAGAGAGCTGGGCTAAATCATGCTCAGAGCACTTAAAAAAAGATTCAAATTTTAATACATTAGCACTAGAACATGCTGTACAAGGAACAGGAAAATTGCAGTTGTCAATGTGTGAATATAGTCTCAGGGTAAGTTCATACAAGGAAGTAAAACTTCGATTTAGAGTTTTTTCCCAGCCAACTCTCCCTGCCTCCTGATATTCACGTTTTCCTTGTAGACTAGAAGACATTTACTCGTATGCATATTTCACTCCAAGAAGCGGGCAGGGGAAAGTATGTGAGTACGCACCAGAATGTCTGAAGAGGTCTTTCTAGGGGACAAGCCACAAAAAGTAGGCATGGTGAACAAGCATGTGTTTGTGTACCTGAACAAGTATGCACAAACATGCTCATAAGCACGTGGCTTTCCTTGTGAGAAAGCATCTCAGGGTAAATCCATAAGGGACTTTCTGGGTTTTTTTTCTTTTGGATTTCTCAGAAAGTCTACTTGCTCATTGCAGGTAAAGAGAAGTGGTCTGCAGCCTCCCGGGCTGAGCACACATTGTCAGAGGGGAAAGCCCAGCAGCTTGAGCTCCCAGTCAGGCCAGGTCCCTCGAGGGGCTGGAGAGAGTCCACAGGGCTGGGGAAGCTGCGGCCGACTCTGCTAATTCGAAACTAAGCTGTATCCCAGTTGGGGTTTGACAGACTGTTTTCTATATCAAAGCAACAAATGGACTTTCATTTCACAACACATCTGGTCTCTCAGAGCATTCTGTCAGAAGCAGCTATTTTCTTCAAACTGAAAGTCAGAGCAGTTTATTTTTCCCCAAACTGTGCTGTCAGTTCATTTACTTCAATGGAAATGTTCACTTGTTCTACATGGGTTGTCTTACCCTTAAACAGAGGTGAGATGGAGGAAACCCTCCCTGAGGATATCTTTCAAGTGATGTATCTACGTAACTGTTTGCCCCAAAGAACATTTTGATCAGTTAGTTATAAAGATAGAACATATATAAAAAATATATAGTGTTACTATATGATATATAG